CTGGATGAAAGTGTCAGGCAGACACAGACACAAAATGTGACAGCAGACGCAAATATTGAGGTCCAACGGTACATGATGGAGCCAAATATTGGAAGGCTGGAGGACCCCCTTAAATACTGGGAGAGACTGTGAGCGAGTGTTTTCAAAAGCTGGGGAAATATTGTCCAAAAAAAGAAATCGCCTACGACCTGCCACAGTGGAGAAACTGTTGCTTTTAAATAAAAAACAATGATGTGTCCCCTAAACACTAATCACTGTCCATATCTCAACCACACCTCACCTCACAGTAAATGATCATTTCCATTTTAAGCATTTCCAAATAATCATTTTCCGTACTGCCAGTATAAATATACACAGTATAATGCCATCACTACAATATAGATGTTTTACACACTCCTTTTGTTGTTGACATTTACAGGCTGTGTGCAAAAGGCCACACTCTTCAAATTCCATCCATCCATCCATCCATTCGCTACCGCTTATCCTTTTCAGGGTCGCGGGGGGCGCTGGAGCCTATCCCAGCTGTCATAGGGCGAGAGGCGGGGTACAACCTGGACAGGTCGCCAGTCTTCAAATTCATGCCAACTAATATTTTTACGTCCAGTAGGTGTCCTACTAGAGCAAATGAAGCTTCAAGACACTTTGCACTGGGGTGAACCAATTGGATAAAAAGCTTCAGTGCTTCATGGAGCTTCATCTGCCCATCACAACACACAGCTCACTAGCTGCAACTACTCACATGGCTCTCTGGCACCAGAGCTCACCTTTCTCTGGGCTTAAATACCTTTAATTGCTGATGGAAAGCAGCTGTACAAAAAAAGGTGGCACCTAAGGCAGGAGAGCTGGTAGGACACGCCCACACAGGCAACTTCAGGAGGAGGCCCTGCTAGGGCCGTAACAATTGGTCTATAATTAGTTAAAACTGCTGGGTCATCCCCTTTTTAATAGAGGGACAACAAAATCTGATTTCCATACTGAGGGAATTTCTTCCATTGTCATGGTCCCTGTTTCTGCTCAGCCGGCCCCGCAAGGCTACATGTATTTTTGTTTTGCTCTCACTTCTCTTTCCTTCGCCGCTCTGCCTGGGTAGAGCTCACATCCATAACCAGTTTGAGGGTGAAAATAGTTGAGAAAGGCTCTGCCACAAAATCAGCTGGGAGTTTCAAAAAGTAAGAATCTATTAAATCGGGTCCTGAAGGTTTTCTATGATCTAATACTTTAAGAGCTTCATAGATTTCCTGTACAAAGAAAGGAACAAAGTTAAATGGCTGACCAATGTACACCGGAAGGTTTGTGCAGGATTTTACAGAGACTGGATTCAGAGAGTCAAAGAGTCAGAAGATATAAAGTGCTTGTTAAAGCAATTCATAATCTCCTTCCTATCATAAACCGGAACTGAATCCTTAAAAAAATTGGTGAGCTTTTCCTACCTGAAAGAGACTTAATATTTTCCAGAACTTCTGTGGATTATTTAGGTTCTCAGACAGACAATAATAATATTCTGATTTAGATTTCTTAATAGAGGAAGTACATTTGTTTCTTAGTCATCTGAAAATAGGCCAATCATTGGGCTTTGGCCCAAGCCAGGTTACGTTGGATGTCGGCCAGCTCTGGGGAGAACCTGGGACTTTTTATGACCTTTTATCCTAAATCTCCCTAATGGGGCATGTTTACTCACAATTAGCATAAAACCATCCATAAAAACTGTCCTGCATCAGGGATCAATCCTATTTTCTTCCAATTATAGTTTGACAAATCATGATAAAATGCTTGTTCATTAAACTGTTTAACAGTCCTTTTAAAAATAATACCTGAGTGACTTGGGCACCTTAGTGTTTCAAATAACAGCAACAACACAGTGGTCGCTTAAGTCATGGCAAAAGACACCCAAGGATGAAAATTTATGAGGAACATTTGTCAGAAGCTAGTCAATCAAGGTAGACTTCAGGGTTTTTTTTGGCTGTCCTCACAGTATTCAAATTTTTTGAATTAGAATACTGTTTTCGTGGGTTTCATGAGCTGGAAGCCCACATTATATACAAATAAACAACTAAGTACTTGAAATTGTTTAAGTTGTGGGCCCTGAATCTATAATCAATGAAAGTTTAATGTTTTGAAAGGAATTATGGAAATAAATAAACTTTTCCATGATATTCTAATTTCTTGGACAGTGTCTATAGTTTAGTCTGGAAAGGAAAAGCTTTAAAGAATGCAGAGCCTCTGTAAAGGCAGAACGAGGTCTATAGCAACAAACAGCTGTTAGATAAAGACCCTTTGCAATATTCAGAGCCAGAAATTCCATTTGCTTGCTAATGTATTCTGATAGAACTATTGTGGCATCAAATTTCAACTTAACATAAGCAGCAACACCACCACCTTTCTTAAGCCTATCTGTACGATAGATACTGTATCCAGCTATGCTAATATGTTCATCAGATATATATTTAGACAACCAAGTTTCAGAAATTAAAACAATATCCCCATCTGTTTATCAAACCCAAATCTTCACCATATCCATCTTGGGTAACAAACTGCGCACATTAAGATGAACAATCTTCAGCCCAGATGAGGATTTAAATTCAGATGGTGTCTGAGTACATTGCAGCTCAGGGCCCAGGTTAGGTTGCACATTACCAGATAAGAGCAGTAGTAAGACAGCCGGGAGTCTCTGCTTTGCAAGATTACCTACTGAATTTGACTTGTGAAATGTTGAAACTAAGTAGAATATTTCATAACTTGCAAGGTAATAATTCAAAACAAGACGGTTTTGAAGTTGAGCTAAATCTTTGTGTAGATCAAATGATAAATGCACGGCCTGTTCCAAATACATTGGTGATTGTACAGGATGTACAGCAGCGGTGATACATGTGGACCTGAGGACCTTCTCTTCTCTAAGAAGAGTCATATACAGATCCAATATTGGATTTTAAAAAATGAGGATATTACAAGTAAGCTTTAAATTTCTATATTTACAAATGTCACTGAGCAGTCCTTCAATTCAAATATAATCTGTCATCTTCCTCAACTACAGCAGCTATACCTTTAGCTAGCAGAGACAAACTGAGTGTAGTTTGACAAACTACACTTAGATTGTGTTTGTTTGCAGATATTTGTTTATCCAATCAAAAAGTTACATTTGAAATTACCTGCCACTTAAAAAATGCTACTTCCTTGTTGTTGTGATGCTGGTGGAAAAGCAATGACAACATACAGACATCTGCATGAAAAATGCAATTCCAGACTCTTCCGGCCCACTTTAACCCCTGAGTTGAAGAGGGACATTAATTAAAAAATTTTTGCCTCTTTCACCTCTTCCTATGCAATAAGCACCAATGATGGATACACTGATAGGATTAACTTTCATAGATTTTCTTGTTCCCTCCAATTGGTGCTGAAATCGGTTTGAAGTTTGAAGGCGCACACTAATGTAAGGCAAATACCTCTGCAATGAAACTTAAAACAACAAGCCTGTTTTTGAAAATGTGAGGAGTAGAAAGTGTAGACATTTGTGTAAGAAATGTCAGGAAGGATCGCTTAGAACAGTGGTTCTTAACCCGGGTTCGATCAAACCCTAGGGGTTCGGTGAGTCGGTCTCAGGGGTTCGGCAGAGCCTCCGCCATGACATGCATGGCTCATTTTGTGCACCAGTAAAAAAATCACATTTTATTTTTCACTAAAGAGGGGTTCATATGAAGCTGGTGGGGTTCGGTACCTCCAACAAGGTTAAGAACCACTGGCTTAGAATAAAGGTCATGAGAACAATAGAAAAGATGTGAATGCCCCTAAAATTGAAGCAGTGTCCCCCAAAGGATGCCACCAAGGACCAGTCCAACAACAGATAGAGCTCAACACAGTCAGCATTTTTCAGTTGTCTAGCTCACCAACTTCTGGTGGAAATATCCTTGTTTATACACTAAACAGGAACTATCTGTGGTTGCAGTTCTAAGGGTCTTTATGTCTGCTTTCTGACTGTTTTATCAAAACTTACTTGTGTAAACAAGGTTCATGCTCAGAGGTATGTTCTCACCAAATGCCTTTTACTACGAGTACAGACCACTGAGGTTATGTCAGTAAGATTTAAACTCTCAAGCTCTTCATTTTTCATTTTTTAAATAAGCAGTGTTGCCACTTTTCAGCTGCACTTTGACTAAATTTGTCTTGAAGTGTGTGATTTTATGCAGTTATTTAAATATTTATTGCAAATCCACTTTTCACCATTCCTACCAGCATCTGAAATAAACACTTTTGTCTCCAGTGTGTCTGTGGACATAGTCAGAATGTTGCTAAAAGCCTGTATTACCAACATGCAACACAAGGGGTATGTCTACCTCCATTCTATTATGCACTACCCACATAGCTTTATCACAAATAAATTGGTATTACCTTGTAAATGTAAATGCAGATTGGGAAAAAAAATTGCAGACAGGAGATGTCACAGAGATTGGAGCAGATTTTCCTGCATTAAATTGTTCGTATCACCATGTTGTTAAAGAAGAAGAATATTGATGCCAAGAGGCAACTCACACAACAGATAGGAAGAAAATCAATGCTCTTACTTTTTCCTCCTCTCTCTCTCCTCTCTCTCTGTCACTCTTGTTTATCTTTCTTCGATTTGGATTTAATACACTCCGTTGTTTTTAAAAACTGTCTTGCTACTTTCTAATGCAATTTAGCTTAGCAATCGTCATTTCAGCACCAGTGTAAAGATAAAAAAAAGGATTTGCTGCGATTTAATGTTCAATCAAAAAGAGATATGTGGTTTGGGCTTGTGGAACTGGTTCCATGTTTCTGGTAAACTGGTGAGGAAAATGTCGGCCTAATATGTGAAGGGATTCACTTAAGACTGTCGGGCTAAGCAACTGATTTCTGCTTTCAGGTAACCAGCCTTGATTGAAGCAACAGATGGTATCATTTATCTCGTAGATGACACAAGTGCAACATGGATTTCAATCACAGCTTTGAAGCTAGGTTTGGGTCAATCCTGTTCATTGCTCCCCTACCTTCTGCTGCCTCCTGGCCATATCAGTCGGTTGTTTCGCGTTAAATGGATATGCGATGCAGCGCATCACAAACACATACAGCTGGAGTCTCTTTTTCCTCTCTTCCTCATCTCGCTGCATCTTTTCCAGGTCCTCCTTTTCCTTGTCGCTGCCAACCGACGGACTCGGGCTTGACGGTCGACCACGGCCGCTCCCGCTACCCCGTGACTGGAGCCCTCCGTTGGCTTGGCCGTCGGCGGCTCGGCCCGGTGACAATCGGGCTCCCCCGATGTTCTTCGGGGCCGCCACTTCTTTGTGCTCCACCTGCAGTATCTCTTCCCCTTCCTCCTCGCTTGAAGACGGGTCCAACATGCTGCGGTAGCTTAGATGAAGACTCTACCTGTTGCAATTGAAAAACTGCGAGAGCAGAAAACAGAAAGACGCCTTAAAGGTACCAAAGCTGACCGATGTGCCCTCAGATTGTTCTTTGTCAAGAAAAAAACTGTTCCAAGCTCATCGCAAAAAAAATAAAGTGTTATAAACACAAAGTAGCTCTGTGGTTTCGAAGCCTTTCAACTCTCCCAGTCAGTGGCACATAGGAGGAATTAATGACGGGAGCAAATCTAAAGGGGAGGTGTCGCAGAGAGGTAACGCTGATGCGTTGGTGCGCTGCTGCTCGGAGAAAGAGGCAGGGCTCGGAGCTGACCATAGTACTGAAACATGATACCAGCTGCTCTGGGATCAGTTTAATCAAGCTGCGAGCACCACAGATAAAGGGCCACCTCCAGCAAAGCCGAAAGAGGACAGCGCTAGGCCGGAATCAAAACAGCTTTCTTTAAAAAAAAAAAAAAAAAGCTTTATTACTGGTTTAAAACAATCCAGCAACAAGCTCGTAAGCCTGCTTCATGTCCTCCTCGTGTCTGCGTAGGTTCCATCCAGGCACTCTGGCAGTCATGTATAGAGTTAGGTTAACTGGCGAGTCCAAACTGACCACAGGTGAGAATGCGAGGGTAGGCTTATCCGTTTCTGTGTATTTGCACTGTGACAGATTCGTCATCTATCCAAGGTGTACTCCGCCACTCGCCCAATAACAATGCGTCTGTTTATTTATATATACACAACGCACTATGTAATTTACGTTCTTCTTGTTACTAGTATTCTTGTTCTGTGTTTTGGTTTGTTTGTTTTGTCTTGTCTTATTTAGCTTTTCCTGTTCTTTCTGTCTTATCTGCTCAAATTTGGGGTTGTTTAAAATGCCTGTTTTGGAAGAATAACACGTTTTTATTTAATACATGATATTTCAGCTGTGTTAATATGATGAGTAAGTCTGTTAGCATTTTAGCTTTTCTGACTGTTCTTTTCCCACTTGTTTTGCATTTGGTTGGCTCTTTGTTACTACTGGTAGCATGAGGCTATAACTGAACCCTACACTGGCTATAACAGGACTCTACAGTGGTGGCACAGATGGTCCAAGTCACACATTGATGGCACAATAAAGAAGGTTTGCTGTGTCTCCCAGCACAGTCTCAAGAGCATGGAGGAAAGTCCAGGAGCCAATGTCTCTAGGAGAGCTACAGGGGGCTGTAGAAGGACCTTAAACCATGAGGAGGACCAGTTTCTGCTCCTTTGTGCAAGGAGAAACGGGATGCACACTGCCAGAGCCCTACAAAACTTGTTAATTAGACAAAAGTCTAATAAACAGGTTGACCAGTGGCAGGCTCAGCCAGCACATTTAAGAAGCATTTATGAGAAATCACTTGGTTCACTGAATGTAATACATTTATCCAGGTGTTTTCCTACAACTCCATCTTGATTTTTTGTGTTTATATTTTTAAAGACAGACAGTGTGGAGTCCATGCACTCTAAAAACAGATTATATATGAATATACAGAAGATTTCTGGTTTCCATTTTGTAGCCTTTGACTTTAAGAGGACTTCTATCGCACGCAGGCAAACAGTCCACTTGAAGACCAAAATCACATCAAAACAACATTTTTTTTATAACAGTAATTAGCTCATACTATATAGTCAGTTTTTTTTTTCTTTTTTTTGGGGGGGGGGGGTGATTAGCATTCAAATCTCTCGGTTAATATAGAAGAAAGATTTACCACAAAGCAAGAAAGTATGAGATGAGTCTAATCAAAAAGGTATTGGCTGAAGCACATGCCACATCATTTAGCACGCAGCTCATTTACACAGGGTTTGAAGCAAAGGAGCAAAATAACACAATAAAAACACAAACACTTCCATCTTAGATAAGTAAATACATTAAATTTCATAAGAACAGTCCAAGAAAAACAACCAAGAGTTTCAGTATTGTCATTTTAACTCTTCTTCATTCTTGTTTTATATATTTTTCTAATGCTCCAGTTTTTAACATTTTTAAACGAGGAAAATGAGCTACATCTTTTTAAATTACTGTCATAACTATTCAACAAGTTAATATCTCTGCTTTTTGTTTGTTTTTATCTTGTTTTCTTTTTTAAATCTGTTCCCCTCAAATCATATCGACTCTCTCTGACTTCAAACTGCTTCTGAGCACTGCAGCAAATCATTTTATCTTGTTTTTTGTACATTATCTGTGCCATTTTATATTCAACTAAAACATAAAATTTCAGGGTCCTCAAATTAATAAACATCAAATGTTAGTTAGTTCTTTATAGTTCTATTGATTTAAAATTCTTACAGCTGGTTTTTTTTTTTTTTTTGTAACTTTAACATAGGACGGGTATTGGTTTTATGCATTACACCATATCTCTAGACAATAAGTCATATATGGAAGCAACAGAGAACCATAAAGTGTGTATAATGATTTCTTGTTCAGGACATCCTTTAATTTGTAGAGAATAGCAACAGTTGTTGACATTTTTGTTTTCACATGACGATTTCACATGGTTTATATGAGACTTCTAACTAAGTCTAAAAAACAACAACAACAAAGTTGTGAATTTAGTCAATATCGAGGTTTAGAATTAACATTTTTTAAAAGGAACTTTAACTTGATACTACTCTGTCCAACTACAAAGGGGGAAAGCAAGTGTAAAAAGCACAGATGTGACTTCAAAGTTCAAAGGTAACTGATGATCTTGCAGTATGCCTGGGTTTTCAATTTTACATATTTTATATATGAGATTTGCATCCACTCCTGTTCTGGACAGGCAGCATGAAAATATACACAAAAGGTGAACAGTGATTAAAAGTAAACGAGCTAGACACTTAAACTATGGAATCAGAACGATGCCACCTTGAAACGAAACCGAAAAAAATATTGAAACTGAAATAAATGTACTGAAAAATCTTGTATTGAAACCGAAAAAAAATGATAGTGAAAAACAATTAATTGAAACTGTAATTTTTTTGTTTTCGCTTACAATTCTTTTTTTCAGTTTAAATCCTTTTTTTTTTTGGTTTCAATCCATTTTTCAGTTTCAACCTGTACTTGTGTTTTATTGTATTTTATATTTGTATTTTATTGTACAGCACTTTGGTCAGCCTTGGTTGTTTTTAAATGTGCTTTATAAATAAACTTGACTTGACTTGACTTGATGTGAGTGAAGTTGGCCCCCCCACCTTCTTCAAATCCAACAAAAGTGGTATCAAATGTTTGTGCTGGTTTGTGCTGCAAAAATTTTCGTTTGTGCTGCTATATTTTAAAGATATTAATAAAAATTTCTAGAGGTCATCAAGGTCAACCAGCCCCCCACATTACCCAAATCCAACAAAATGGATTCAAACGATTTGTGCTACGTTTGTGCTGGTTTGTGCTGCAAAATTTTTTTGTGCCGCTATTATTTTAAAGATATTAACAAAAATTTCTAGAGGTCAACCAGCCCCCCCATATTAATGGAATCAAACAAAATTGATGTCAAACGTTTGTGCTGGTTTGTGCTGCAAAAATGTTTGTTTGTGCTGCTAACATTTTAAAATTTTTAATAAAATAACGTCTTGATGCGTGCTTAATCATCCAGGTAAGTAAATCCCAAAAGGTTGATTCTGTTCATCTGGACATTTTCAGTTGGAGAAACGTTTCGTCACTCATCCAAGTGACTTCTTCAGTCTCAGCTGACTGCAGGTTTCCCCAACCTTATAAACACACGTGAGTGAAGTTGCCCCCCCTACCTTCTTCAAATCGAACAAAATTGATGTCAAACATTTGTCCTGCAAATTATTTTGTTTGTGCAGGTTATGTTTCCCTAATTTTATAAACAGTACATGTACAGTGAGAGAGAGATGTTACATCTGTCTTCACTTGCTTCCCAGTCATAGAAGCGTTGGAGGTCGTTCATAAGAGATTACAGGATCATCCCAACCTCAGCAACAGGACCACTCTCAGCACTGATCAGTTGTGTTTGCTTTTGGAACTGTGTCTTAATTCCACCTATTTTGCATAAGGGTCAGTACAGGCAGAAATCTAGGTGTGCCGTGGGTTCCCCCAGGCCCCTGCTCAAAGTCACCAAACCAGTTCATAAGCAGGTACAGGTGTGGCCAGAAGGGTCCTCAGAGGCACTGCTTTTCCACCACAGGCTGCCACACACAACAACACCACAGACTTTCAGGAATATACAGAAACTATCACTGCCTACATCCCAAAATGCATCGATGATGTCACAGAGACCAGGACTATCACTGTCCGAGCCAATCAGAAATGCAAGCCTTCAGAGCCGGAAATTAGGAGAGTCTAAGAACAGCAAGGGCAAACCTGTCACGTGGCATCAGCTATAGCAAAGCTTCAGCGACAGCAGAGATACTTGGAGGCAGTGGCAAGGAATACAAATCATCACAGACTACAAGCCCACTCTACAGACCGTGGTGACACAATCCCCAGACAGTGTGTGGAAGGGAAAACACAGATGTATATTTACAAAGCTAATATACACTAACTATGACATCCCTTGCCAAAATCAGTACACGCAAAGCTCCAGATCCTGATAACATCCTTGGACGAGCACTGACGGACTATGCTGTGGAACTCACAAATGTCTTCACAGACATCTTTAACACATCACTAGGGTCAGG